ATAGAGCATGTTTGGGACGAGATGGATCGACATCCTCGCCGTCTTCCTCATCCGCCAGGTAACGTCCTTGACCTTGCAACAGAACTTGAGAGAATCTGGCGTGACATCCCACAAGCCTTCCTTGCACGTTTGATAGGCTCTATGCATCATCGATGCACTGCTGTTCTCAATGCCGATGGTGGACATACCTGTTATTGAGCTTGTGACATGGTCGTTTGACCCCTGTCCCGCTTGTGGACTCGTGACGTCATTGTGATTGACTTTTCAACTGAAATTCTCCCGACTTGTTATGGTCTCATGATCCCTCCATTAAAGTTTATATGTACCTTTGACATTGTTATCGTACTTATCAACTGGGATAATATTTTGACAATGCAGTTTCTTTATGTGGCTAGTATATAATGAAAGGTACTGTCTATACTGTAAATCTAATGGGTTTTTTATTATTTGAAGATGAATGGCATGTATTTTTTGTGTGTGTGAGGCATACTCTAGTATCAGGAATAAATATATTAAGAAATATTTTAGTAACTTCTCCACAATGAAAATTTTTATATCTATTCTACAGAGTGAAAATATGGATATGATAATTTTGTATGTTTATTCTTATATCATGTAAACAAGAAACACTAACTGCTAATACTGTATATATGCGCTGATGTGTTACATATTTTCATGACTGTATTATGGGCCCGAGGCCTGGAACTGAATAAAATGTCTGTCAATAATAATATGAAAAACGCATATTTTACAGATCCTGGAGGCCACATGACTCGCATCATTTTTATAGAAATGCACTGATCCCCGTTACATACCCCGGTATGTGTCAGGAGCATAACATATATATACTTCAATGTATTTCTCCTGAAGGTTTGTAATCAGTCAGCCAGGTACTGAACTGGGCTTTTACCTATTCATGAAAATCTGTAGCAGCAAGCTGGGACTCCGATTAGAGTAATGTTTGTGTCGAGGGTATAACTCCTCTTTCTATACAGAAACTTTGCATTCATATCAAACAAAATCTATTGAGCTGGTGTCCTTTTCCATTGAGGAATTTAAAGTTTGATTTCACTTTTTTAACACGGCAATTTGTAGTTAAGGATGTGATAGGATGACATAAACTGTTATATGTCCACAAAACTTAATCACTTCATCTTTTGGAAAAGAGTGTAATGTTTCCAGAGCCTGTACAACCTCGGGAAGCTCCAAGGGTATTTTTTTAAGTTCATAAATGCAGGAACCAACCAACAGCCCAAAGTCAGACAATGGTGCTTAGAAGTAGATAGTTGCTCTGTACATTTTATAACATGGAACACTGGGCTATGTGAAGTACTATTAAATACAACAAAACAGGATACTTCAGACAAGATGGAAAGTTTATTTCTGCTCATCCATTATGCTGTGATGAAATCAATATTTGCTTTAAAAATCAGGTTATGATCACAGATGAAAACAAAACAAAAGTAAATAATATAAACAGAGTCCGCAACAACAAATACCTTTGTATTTCATGAAATAGAAGACTGTCAATAATGGCCACATCTTTTTAGAGTTATGTACATGTATATTTATGAGGCAAAGCAAAGTGTGACTACAATAAGGATACCAAAATCCCATTCATAGACATGGATGCAAAGTCGACAATATTCTGCTAGATTTTGTATGACAATATACTGGTAAGTCTTACAAGACAATACTACGGACTCATCCTAAAAATAGTAACTCTGAAGAAGACGATATAAAAGCAGCTGTTGCATTGTAAGATGCTGAAGTCATGTTCCAGCTAACTCTTCTGTGATGGTTAGATCCTTACCAAACATGTCATGTCCATGTATGCCTGAGACAACAGATTGTGTACAGACAATCATGTATTATTTTCAAACTGAATGTAACTTATACAATCTTTACAGTAATTCACAGATACAATAGGAGTAGCAGTTAATTATACACTGTTTTTTTAACAGTCACCATCAAAATAAAATGTTTAAAAAATGTCTGTAACCAGGTACATTTAAAAGCAAACAAAATATCACTAACAATTACTGTAAATTCAACCTTTTCAAGTACGTAGTACACTTCAGATGTATATGCAACAGACTGCAAAGTATTGTGTGGAGGTTTGGTTACAAACTTTCACAAACATCTGCTAATATCACAACCTCACCTTGAGTCAGTGTTTTGTCAGAACAAAATACTGTACAGTCATAAAATAATTCTGATTAGCTGGTTTCATAATGGTCAAATATACTGAGAAAGAAAACACTATGTGATAGATAAGATACCAGATTGTAAAACAATTGCATTCTTTAATAATTTGCCTTTTTCTTTACCAAGGTCTTAAGAGGCCAGTGAAAATTAGCGGAGTTTTTCCCATCACACACACACGCACGTGGCTAATGGTTACTACATAAATCAGACTGATACATAGGGGAATATAACAAAGCATGTAACATGACTGTTCTATCAATGTTTCACTTCACAGCACATCAAACTGGATTTCATACTCAGCAAACCCTTGTACTGCCCAATTACAACATACAATGAAGAATCTTTCTATGCAGTCTTTTAAAGCACAACACTGAATTTAGGATTGCAAGAAAAGATACAAAACTCATTTGTCGGGAAGCAAAACAACACAAACAACTGGAAGGTAGTGCAAGAAAATGGAAGGAACCAGCTGCAAGTTTACACACTTTGGGACTGAAGATCGAAATGTATGCAATACTATTTAATGAAAAATGATACACAGTCTGGCCACAAGGTAAACTATTTAAACATGCATCATAGTACATCATGGCAACAGATTTACTATGACCCTCCCCCTTACACACTGGGACATACCATGCTTTTGAACAAGTGAAACACTGCTACCATGCAAAGGCAAAATAAAAGTGTGCTCAACCAATATCAAGGAAACAAAATTCAGCTATGACAAAGTACTGTAACTGCATTTAAAGAGGTCAGGTCGCAATTTTGAATGTGATGAATTTATAACATCTTTTTTTCAGCTTACATCACGCCTGCACATATCTGTCACTATTATCATAATTACTGTATTAGCTACCATAAAATATGTTATCATTTTCAAACTGTTATCTCACTATGGTCTGGTGATGTTGACTTTCATCATGTTGATTAAACTGAGGATTTGCATCCATTCAATCATTCATTAGTACTCACACTGACGTGATGGTGGACAATAGAAAGGGAAATGCTACCAAACCAAAGGTTCCCATACAAAGATATTTACAAAGTTACACCATTAAGAGTGTAAAAATGAGCACGGCATTATATGCTATTTACAGTTACAGGCAATGACAACAGATGGTATATACAACGCAGATAATGCTAATGGGACTGAAATGTACATCTTGGTATCAATTTCAATCAAAAGCAAAATTTACAATTTACTTTTTACATTGCTGCCACCATATCATGGCAATAGTCACACTGAAGCTAAAGCCACTGAGGGTCACCTGCTTCACACATGTAGAAGGTCAGTAAAAGGAACATTGATTGCTAAAGGAATTGCTTCAGTAGAACATGTAAGGTTAAAACCATTATCAACACAATGAATAATCTGGGCGTAGGTATAAAGTCTGGCCCCCAGTGAATTCAGCAAGTGATAAAAAGCATAAATAGTTAACTGACTAGAGTCTGTGTTCCAGCTGATGCCATAGTCTTTTTTTTACCCCAAACTGATCTACCAGGGAATCATTCCACAAATAACAGTAGTGCTTTGTGTTCCCTTGCGTATTTATTGCGAAATGTGAAACAGGATGGTTCTATCCTGGTTGTAGTAGTGATAGTTAAAAGAGTAGTATAACCATTCACTAACATAGGAATGGCATATTGTCTTATCAGTGACATGGTACTCTGTTCACCTACACAACATGGATCATTAGTACTGAAGATGAGTCAAAATAACCTGGACTTTAATGCAAACATTTAAAATGTGAGTGCGCATAGGAAACGCATGCTAAAGTTTGGTGAATTTCTTTGAATACAAATAGCTACAAAAGGTTCAGTGCAATGACATGCAATACCCAATGGAAGTACCATGTTACCTCTGAAACATAAGTTTTAAACACGTCTCTTTGAAATACAGATTCACTTCCTTTCAAATTCATTCTCACATGAAACAAGGAGATTATGGATGCAGATTTCATACTTTACATTGTAATAACTATGACATCAGTACAATGCGAGCTTGGAGAGAAAGAAACCTGTGATGATCGAAAATATAACTGGCGGTTCACCCCACACAACCACTTACAGTGTTTGTGTACACTGTTTCGTGACACTGCCACCTTTAACCTATTCACATACAGATGATATACTTAAGGAAACAATGCATGTCAGTGTCATGCTGGATCAGGGCCAAACCCACATCAAGCTCCTCTCTGCAAACCAATGTTTGCATATAATGCTGCATATGGGGGCACCAGGAATGTAAATAGTTACTTCTTTTATCTGCCAAATAACACGAACATGGTGTCCAACAAGCCCAAGACAATATGAATGCCATCAATATCCATTAAAAAAATACAAACAGCCATTTAAGATGACTTTCTCTAAATTCTCCAAACTATTTTGTAGGGTTGTAGGGTTGTAGTGGCGGAAAATGACTTCAGCAATTGTTGACACTATTTTATTCCAGGCAACATCACTACATTGTAAATAATTTGTCATCAGTCGCTAAAATGAATTAACTCAACAATCTCTACTGACCGCAGAGGAGGAAATGATGACAAGTCACCATGCAAGAGCATAAGGAAAGAATTCTCACAGAACACAACCGAACTACAAAGGTATTGTTGTTAATGAGACGGAGGTTGGTAAAATGTTGCTTTGAACATCATTTCATTTATATAATGTTTTAAAGAGATGGATCAGTTCTACAAACACACTGATGCCACCTTGGCAGGAGAGTGCACTCACCAGTAAAGAATGCACACACCAGCATGGAGAGCGTCCACACTAGTGTGGAGATAGCTCACACCAACAGAAGAGTGCCCACACATGGAGAGAGCTCACACCAAGTGAGCCCACACACCAGCACGGAGAGTGTCCTCACATGGAGAGAGCTCACACTATGAGCCCACACACCAGCACGAAGAGTGCCCACACATGGTGGGGGCTCACACTATCAGTCGACACACCTGAATCGATTAAGTGGACTAACCAGCATAGGCACAACAGATGAACTGTCATCTAATGGCTGTAAATCTTCACATTGCAATTTGATGAAATTCAGTACATCATTAACGTTTTCCCTCAGTGAGCATATAATACATGTTATACTTCTCATGTATGTAAAGGATCTACAGTGCTTGATACAAACATTCATCCACATGGATGTGTACATTATTAGAGATTCAGTTCATAAAACAAACATCTGATGTGTGTAAAGCACCTTACAAAAAAAGTCTAGTATTAGCCAAGATATCTTCTGCATGTTTACTGTTCTATCCATGATGGCTTCTCAGCATTTGGACGTTTAAGTTTGATGTTGAACTGCTTCAGTGTAGTGTCCAGCATAGCCTCATTCCCAGAGAAGTAGGCAGACACAGCATTATGGAACAGCAGCAGCTGTTTGTGCATCACTTTCACCTGCAACAAGGACCACAACAATCAATTAAATCACAAGACATTTTGGAAGGGTGATCACCGTTAATACATGTTGACCTTTATTCTACCTGATGATTGCCAGTGACTAATATGCCCATAAAAGGTTTGAATGAGCATGTTTACAGTAGTTGATCCACATCTAGGGCAAACTAATTCATCCAGGAAGTCTATGCCTGCTAACTGTTTCTAAATGGCTGTACCTACATAAGAGCAAGACAAGTGCCAACTGAAGCCTCAAGACCCAGGTATTCCGTCCACACTGGGCACACAAGCTATATTAGCTACTAATCCAGCGGCTTACATATAAATATATATGATTTGACGAGAAGTTAAGAAAATGATTATTTTTCCTTATCCTGACTCATGCTCTTTTGCTTGTCCCTTCCTCTTGCGAACATAGTGGAACACTTGTATCTCCTTAATTGAAGCCCCTTCAATGTAAAATCACTAATTGGTACTCATCCAAGAGTTACCTCCCCTGCCGTAAGCGGGAACAGGTGTCGCCACCCTCTGGCCTCATGCTTCACTCTCCTTCTTAAGCCCAGTGAGCAGGATGTGAGAGCTCTGTGTCTCCTTACACACTATATCCTTTGGTTTTCTTAGTTAGTTACCTATTATAGTTTACTATAAAGGTATAGCTAGTATCCTTCAGTTATTTTGCATTGATAATTAATCGTATTTCTACTGTTTATTCACGTGAGTTCGCGTGATTGTTCAGCTAGTTTTACGCTGATGAAAAAACTGCTGTACAATTTGTAGATTACGCTTTTTCCGCTATGATCCGCGATGTAGTATGCCCTAGTTGTACTCACGCCGTATGCGTTTGATTCACGCGTTGCAGTTACTGCATTAATTTAACCAATTCTGCCTTTAATAAATACCATCTTTAAGCGCCTTGAGAGACGTATTGCAGATAGGTCATGCAAACTAGGTGTAGACATGGCCGATACTTGGATTGCCCATCGATCCAGTCAGCTGCTGTCGATCCCCTCCGCCTCAGTTTGGTGTTCTGCTTGAGACCCCATCGAAGAGGGATGGGATGCAGTCCGTCACCTCTAAGAAGCTTACCCGGCCTCCCAGACATCCCGCTGCCATCGCAGACAAAGTCCAAGAGGGCCTCAACGTCTTCTCAACGCAGACTTCTGCACTTCCCCCAGGGCAGCGCCATCCTCCAAAGGGAAATCTACGAAGTCATCGAGAACTTTCAGCCGAGATCGTTCCAGCAGCAGAATTGGGCCTCTCACGATGACCAGCCTATCATCATACCCGATATACGCCACAAGAAGTTTACCAGTGACAGCGACAGTGACTTCAGCAGAGATCACCATGCAGCCTGATGCCTCTACACTGATGTCAGACGAGATCGCTCGCGGGCCCCACCGCTGCTAGCACCGCGAGAGGGCACCATCTACTACGTCGCCAGATCATCCCAGACGCATCTTATGAAGCAGATCATGATCATGATGGAAGGCCACTACCGACTGGAGAAGCAGCCATCCCAGGGTCCGAGCCTTCTGCGAAGGCTCCAACGTAGACAGCACCCCAGAGGCACCCCTGTCAACGAAAGCAGCCACGACGATGCAGCCTTCGCTGAAGGAAGTCACAGACCACCTCGACAAAGGACCCAGATGTACAGCCGAAGGCCTTCGCTGGCGGGAAAGATCATCACCTTCGCCATTCCATACTCAGATCAATGGAATCTGATCATCAGACCACACGGAAGCCTTCGCGAAGGTTGCTCATATCACCGTTCCCCAGGACCGGACGCAGGATCTAAGCTTCAGCGGCTTCGCGAAGGACACCTGAACCCAGATCGCCATTATCTAAAAAGGACATCGGGGGACTACACAAGAGCTTCGCTGGCTACCATCAGTCCCCTCATAGGTCGCCAAGAAGATCAACCTATCGATGTAGATCACCAAGACGATCGCCTTCGCCCGATCACCACGCCGATCTCCACGCATACATCACCGCCGATCACCTCACAGGTCTGCACATATGCCTCCACAAGCGTCAAGCGATATAGAGATAGAGCCACACAGCCCTACATCAGAAGAGCAACAACCTCTTATTTATGATGATGGAATGGAAGATGATGGAGGAATTATTTTCTCAGATGCAGAGATAAGATATTGGATGGTCAATAATCTAGATCTCTCATCACCTTCCAAGAGTGGCAATTCGGCGCAGACTTATCTGATGAAAGAAGACGATGCAGATGCTATTACACTACCCCCAATCGACCCGATTGCGGCGGTGCCACAGAACCTAGATACAGCATTTAACAAAGCCACGAAGGTTCAGACGCCACATCTGCCAAATTTCCACGCCAAGAAGTTCTCCACGCATAATATGGACCCCTTCTTCAAAGCGCAAGACATCGATGAGAACTACAAGCTGATCTCCGATGCCAAGAACAAGTACTACAAGATTGATGATCGAAAATTGGTTCAGATAGAAACCATGACGAGGCGATGTTCTTTGGTCTAAATAGATCTAGAACAATAAATGAGACACTTATCACCAGATTTCGAACACGAATTCTGAAGATGATAGAATGATTTACTCGGCCCTACTGATGCAAAAAAGAAGGACCAGCAGTTCTTAACAGATCATCTCACGTCTGTCTCAGCAGCACTGACCTTAGCTCGTCGTCAAGGCCTCCTCGCTTCCTGCAACTGGGGTGAGAACTTTACAGCTCCACTATATACAGCCCCGCGGTCTTCCCATCCATCTTTGACGGAGGAATAGACAGAGTCTCCAAGGAAGTCACCAAGGATTCCAGAGAAGTCCTGATGATTAAATCGATGGACACGCTTAGCCAGTGTCATTCGACAGACTTCACAAAGATACTCAGGGAGATCTAAATTCAATGGGCCTACAAAGAGCAAGAGACAGGAAGATTGCCAGTTCCAGGGAAGAGATTCTTTCGGTAAGCCCATATGGCAACTATAGAGGAGGGTCAGGAAGAGGCAGGACACCCAGAGGTTCCCGCGAACTATAAACGCTGAAAGACAGGTTCGAACGACTGGGGAGTCTTCCACCCCAGCCGCTCCAGTACAACCGGCACAAGTGGGTGGGCGCCTCCAACTACACTGGGAAAACTGGGGAATACTTCAAGACACCTATGTCTCCAACATTCTTCAACGCGGATTTCATGATCCCACTACAGGCCAAGCCTCCACTAACAGTCAACCCTCACAAGTTCGAGGTACAGGCACAGCAACTACTAAAGTTAAGAGGGCTGTTACATTACTCCTAACCAAGCAGGCCATAGAAGTAATAGAGCAAGGAAACATCGAACCAGGTTTCTACTCCCCAGTTTTCCTAGTACCCAAGAAAACTCCAAGGAGAAATACAGACTCATTTACAACATGAGCTTCTTCAACAAGACTTATCTAAGCAGACCACCCAGGTTCAGCATGATACATCTACCGCAAAGTTACGGCATGATTATAGCCCCATGGACTACATGGGCAGTATAGATCTACAAGATGCTTATCTGCACATCCCTATACATCCCTAATCCAGGAAATACCTCACGGTTTACGCTAGACGGGTTACATTACCAGTGGAAAGTACTCCCATTCAGAATAGCATCAGCCCCATGGTTATTTCACGAGGATGTAACTAAACCGATTGTCACCTATCTACATCGCTAAGCGGCTACGCGAGCGCTCTTCCCTCGACGACGGATACAAGTAGATCAAGATCCACAGCATCTCAAACTACAGTTAAACTACATCATAAAGCTACTAACACACCTGGGATGGTTAGTAAACTTACACAAGTCGGACCTAGTACCATCGCAAGATCTGCAATTCCTAGGCATTCGATTTATCACCAATCTCAACCGGTATAGTCAGATTTCAGAAGACCGCTGGCTCAAGATCCAACAGATCATTCCACCAGCTCTACTCTCTCTCCGCTACCACTTCGACAATGGCAGAGCTTACTAGGTCTTCTAACATCAGCCCAAGACTTGACAGTCATAGGCAGATTACAGTTACGTCCCTTACAGGTCTTCATCAACACACATCTCGACGACCTACAACCATTCAGTCTACCGGAACATCTCAGACCTCATCTACTATGGTGGACAAAGAAATCGAATGTCTGCGAAGGGATTTGTTTAGCAGAGCAGGAATTCAAAACCCATCTATATGTAGACGCTGCCGCCCAAGGTTGGGGAGCTCATCTCACCAACCGGACGGCATCAGGGTTATGGAATCAGCTAGAAAGCAAACTCCACATAAACGCATTAGAGATGAAAGCTGTAATCAACGCCATAAGACATTGGAGCAACATTCTACAGAATGCGCACCTGATGATACATACCCGACAACTCGACAGTGGCGCTTTTATGTGAACAGGCAAGGCTCAACGAGATCGCTGAACCTTCTGACTTTAACCTTTCAACTGTTCGAATTAATCCAAGATCTAAATCTACATGTCAAAGCATGCCACATTCCCGAGCCAGGAATATACTAGTAGACGCACTCTCGGCCACATCTACCGTCGCCGACAGAATGGATGCTCAATACAGAGATATTTGCACAGATAATCAAGCAAATAGGAGCCGCTAGTAGATCTATTCGCCACAAGGTTCAACAATCAACTACCGACATTCGTGGTCACCAGTGCCAGACCCACAAGCATGGGCAACGGGCGCTCTAAGCATATCATGGAAGGCCTTCAATGCGCGCACGCGCTTTCGCCCCAGCAATAATACCTCAAGTATTACAGAAAATCAGCCAAACACAGAGCCTACAACTCATTTTGGTGGCGCCTCTACTGGCCGGCCAGAACGTGGGTTTCCCGCTTCTAATACAAGGAATCGGTCAACCGGCACTAGAGCTACCTGCGCTACCAAACCTGTTAATACATCCACACACCAAACAGGTGCACAGAAACCCAGAAGTATTCAAACTTCAATGTATGGACTGTATTAAAATGTGTTTAAACAAGAGAGGATATTCTACGAGGCGGCAAAGCGTCACGCTTTTGCCTTACGATACTCAACGCTGCGAATTTGTAACGACATGACAAGTGGCAAAGTTTCAAAATTATGCAGCAAACAAGGGTTTTACAGCAAGATGATGCTACGCGATCCTCAAGTGGCAGACTATTTGTGTTACTTACGGCAAAACAAACATTTAAAAGGCTCGACATTGTCAACATATCTTGCCGCCAGCTTTAGTTCTGTGGATTTCTATGAGAACGGTGTTAAATTGACAAAAACACCAGAGTTACTGGCCTTTACTTCACGCTTTCTCGATTGGAGGACCAAAAGCGAAGTTCCACGCTCCAGCTTGGGATCTGAATGTAGTGTTACAACACCTCACAAGTGAGGATTATGAACCACTGGAATCGACAACTTTGAATTTCTCTCACAGAAAACAGTTTTCCTGTTATCGCTAGCCACGCAGCCAGAATATCTGAAATTCACGCCTCTAGATTATGAGAGGATACAGTTTGATGACAATCAAAACACAGCGCACCTGGGATTAAGATGGGATTTCATCGCCAAAAATCAACTACCAGGTCAACCAGACAGGTTATTTCATCGCCCCTAAGCGCTTATCCTCGATTCTCGATCTCAAGATACATTGGACTTATCTCTATGCCCAGTAATGAGCTCTCATAATCTATTTACGCCGTTTCCAAAACAAGGCTAAGATCGGCTTCAGAAGATTGTTCATCCGCTATCGCCACAACAAAATCAGACAGAAGTCTCTCGTACTCACCATATCTATATGGATAAGAACTGTCATTCTACTGCCTATAAGGCAGCAGGACTGGACCCTCCAACAGCATCAAATCCACATGAAATCAGGGCATTGGCCTCCACCCTCGCCCTTCACGTAACTGTTCATTAAATACAATTATGGAAGGATGCTTCTGGAAATCTAACATGGTGTTTGCTAATCACTATCTGAGAGATATCACCACCGAGGACGCCTCTGGCATTCACCATTTCGGTCCTTTGGTCCTCGCTCAGCAACTGACAGTCCCTCGAGGGCTGCTAATATTCACCCCTACGAGATTATTATGTATATTATGCATATATTAATTAGCTTATAACTCCACGGAGTTCTAGGGCTATGTACATATTTAGCTTAGGTTATTCAACCTTAAGCTCATACTGAGTTTATATTCAGTGTACAGCTTCTCTATTAGAGTAGCATTTTATATATATATTGGTATATCAGTATATTAGTAATGTAATACCCCACTTATAGTAATATATATCTTATGGCTTATTATAAAGGAAATATCCTAAGTCTCTATGCCTTATGAAGTTCCCGCAGGGGTTATTACAATATCACTTTTTAAATCACTAATTATAATCCAAAGTATTCTGTTTTACCCACCACCTCCCCGGTGGATTCTACAAGCAAAAGAGCATGAGTCAGGATAAGGAAAAATATGTAATTTTGAGTAAAATTGATATTTTATACTTATCCTGACTCATGAGGTTAGCCCTCCCATCCTTCCCACATAACACTTTGGATTTCCTGTAAAGTCAAGTGTTGGGCTCAAGCAAAATCAGGAGAGAGTGAAGCATGAGGCCAGAGGGTGGCGACACCTGTTCCCGCTACATGGGCAGGGAGAGGTAACTCTTGGATGAGTACCAATTAGTGATTTTACATTGAAGGAGCTTCAATTAAGGAGATACAAGTGTTCCACTATGTTCGCAAGAGGAAGGGACAAGCAAAAGAGCATGAGTCAGGATAAGTATAAAAATATCAATTTTACTCAAAAATTACATAATTTCAGTTCTTGTTTGATATAACGGAATGACAGAACTTACTGAAGTATACAGAATCAAACAAACCTTGTTTTCCTCCAGGAACTTCAGCTTAATAGAGACATCTCCTCGTGAATCTCTCAAACTTAACCTTGTGGTCACCAAACTTCCGCTTGGCTTCATCAAGTCTCTACGGGTTGTAGAGTCTTTTGGACCAAGACTCAAAGTCTCCATATCATTGCGATATGCATCAAATTCCAACCTAAAACACAAGAACATTCAACATGATGTGGGAATAAGTGAAATCCAAACTTTATCTGTTAAAAAGGTAGTTACCACATAAGGAAGATAATTTCAGGATAGACTCAAAGTCAAGCGAATGAGGAACCCTTACCTGGCTGTTTCATACAGCTTGACAGTCAGAAGTGTGTCCTCCATGGTCTTGTTACACAATGTGTTCACAGAGGAGGTAAAGAAGTTCAGAGCACCTGCAATGTGCATGTTATTGATTAGCTGTGCCCGGTATCATACAAAAGATCTATACCTACGCCTTAGCTATGTAACATGAATATCAACACTGAAACCTAACACTGATAGTAGTAACAGCATATTATTTTCCAATGCTCAGAGAACTATCCAATAGTGAACAGCAAACCTGTGATCATAACAAATATACATATCAAAATCTGTGTAATGCCCTGTTTCACTTATGACACATGAAATATCAAGTATGTGCAGCAGTAGGAAACCAAAATCTTGGATCAAAAGCAAAATGCGCTGAACGCTCAAAGAAATGTCAATGTTCATCATTTCCTGGAATGTTTATCACTGTTTATATTAGAAACCACTAGTGTCATACACCATGTTTAGCTACACCTGACTGCGTCAACACAACAGGCCCTACCATTTTAGCATTTAAAACAAACACTGTTTTCTTAGTTGTAAGTATATGTACATTATACAAATTCTAATTTGAAATTCCTTTTGCTTAATACTTTCCAGATTTGTGTGATTTCAAATCAAATGTTCTGTGCAAAATATCTAAACTATTTTGTCAAATCTCACCTAACAGGGTTTCTCCATTCTTGACCAAGGACCTCTGTGTCTCACAGTTGTATGTAAACTCCTCATGCAACTCTGGAGCCTTCTGTGCAAGATCAGAGAAAGACTCTCCCAAGGCTCTCTGGGTCTGTACCACGTAGAAAAAGTGGTTTGTCAGAGCCCTGGCAAGACGAAGCACACTGGCATACTTGCGTTGGGTATCCCGCAGAATTTCTATCTGAGCCTCTAGTTCAAGATCCACTGTCTTAGAGCTCTTGCCAAACCTCTCTGACAGCATCTGCTTGGTGCACTTGAATGTGTTGATACTCCATTCTCGTAGTGACTCCAGCTTGGTGGCAGCCTGAGTGATGGACTTTGGTACAAAGTCACCATTTGTCTGTGGTGAGGACAGCGGCACATTGCTTGTGGCTGCACAAACAAAACACATGGTTAAGATGGACAGGAATGAAATGGTCACTTTATTTCATTCTAGACAAAACATATCATAACTTCTTGGATTACACCGTCAAAAGAATATTTTGTTCCTGAACATAGAATGGAAGATCCTAAGACATTAGTGACTATGTTAGAAATCCTGACATCAAACATAAACATTATAAAACTAATTGTACATCATAATGCTTTCACTGGGTTACACCAAGTTTCTTACTGACAAAATAAATTGGTAAACAGTTAAATACTGACCCCCCTCCAGAATATCATCAATGAACTTATGTGATCATGTACCATCAGCAGTGCTCAGTTTAGCTTGTCATCTTTTGCGAAATGTATATACATTTGCAGTTGGATTCTCAGCAAGTGAATTTGGTTTAACATTGCTTTCAACGGTATTTCAGTTATATCACAGCCTACCAGCTTGATGCGGTTTGAAAGTCCATAGTGATGCAGGTCTCTGGCATATACCACTCCATTCAAACATGATGATGTGGATGATTACGTTGTAGACATACCTAGAAACATCATCCAGGTAAATCAAGATTCAAACCCAAGAACACAGACATGTATAATTGACGCAAACTGCACACGGCAATATACTTCAGGAATGTTCATGTTAGTTAAGATGTACAGGGTATTATGCCTTTAATAAGGTAGCAGGTGATGGAGGTGAGCAGTGTCAGGAATTAGGTGTGAAGTGATAGGAATAGGCTTTTATATTTACATGTTTAGGCAAAAGAGTGACTGGTTATAGAAAGCAAGAGAAACAGTTCCAGTTTTATCAGTAATACAAATAATCAAGAATGTCTATTTTTAAACATGTTCTCGAGACAAGTTTCACTTATGCTTTCCTTCAACTCAGATAAGGAAGCCAAAAACTAACCTTATGTCATGCTTAAACATATTGTCAGGAGGCATTTGCTCACCTGGATATGTTGTCAACAGTTTCAAAAAAAAAAAGCAAAAAATATTAGAATTTAAATCAGAATCAAACCGTATCTGTATCTCTTTGATTCTATAAAAAAAATAGAATTTCTATCACTCAAAAGTTCAATTACTTAAACAATCTGTCAAATTGAAATTTTATCAGTCTATGACCTACAATCACTTGAAGGTCTGATAGTCCAATCTTGTAAAGAGTTCAGTATCAATTTTCAATATGTTCTCCACATATGCCAAATTAAACATTCATTAATAGCATTAACTCATTTAGTGTCATTTTGTACTGAAACTGTAATAAAACATGGTAATATTATGGGGCTCTCAACATATTTTCTGTATTGTGCAATACTGTAAAAGTTATCTTGATTTGACAGTTCGACCATACTTCTTATAAGCCATTACATGGCTTAATAATTAAAGAGTGAATGACAAGATGATGCACAGCAAAAAGTCACAACTGTAATTCTGGACAGCACATGTTTTTATCATATTTTCAACATGTTTATTGGCCAGATTGTGTGCATTTATCCAATCACTGACAGCCTCTCATTTCTGGTTGGTATGGTTTATTATTTGAAACTTTCAGATTTATATACTTTTGCCATCGACGTATTACATTTCTTGGATGCTGGTCAGACACAGCTTGTTTTACGTCAAAATCTCTCGGTTTCATCACAGGCTGGGACAAGTATGTGATACTTCAACCTCACAGGTCCAGTAGTTTTTTTGGAGAAGATGTTTATGATGAAAGACGGACAAACAGGCCATGACTTAAGCTCACTTGCATTAAAGTCAGGTGAGCTAGAAAGAGACAGGGTAATCTTTAAAGTGTGTCAAGTACCTAATATTAAATATTTAAAATACATGTATAAATACTTTGAATATTGTCAATGCAAGCCTGCTCCTAAAATATCGGTTAAAATCTCCTAATACTATCACATATTTTTAGTTTTTAGTAGTTTTATGCTGCTTTTAGCAATATTCCAGCAACATCACAGAAACGGGCTTCACACATTGTACCCATGTGGGGAATCGAACCCAGGACTTTGGTGTGATAAGCGAATCCTCTAACCACTATGCTACCCCATCTCCCCACATTTCTTTCAGATAGCTGATACCTACATGTAGTGCTGTGAAGTAAATAATCATTTGTCATAAAACAAAGCCTTGAGACCATATTCCTAAATAAGATTCAGTTGTATCATATTTGATGCAGCAGCTTAGTTAATGGGAGCTGGTTTCATAGACTGAAAAATGCAGGATTCTTGCTTCATGGAAGCCTTTTAAGTCCCTGCTTATTCAGTAAAGCCATTAGTGATGTGCACGATGCATTGAGTGTCAGCTGCTACACTGATCTACATAATCAGTCAGAATGTACAGTCACTGTTCTTACCAGCTGCATAAACTGCAGTACAGTACAGTCCTTGAGTCACTGATGACAGTGGAATAACACTATAGCAGTTTTCAACAATTCCAATGACAGTCAAGCCACTGAAGGTATCTTCTAAAGGGATTTAGTGCAAAATCAATGAACACCAATAATTGAAGACTATGCCAATTTCTCCTAAAAATCAACACTTTTATTTCTCAGTAAATGCTTCTTCATAAATATACCCAATCAAATGCCTTGCTCATGCTGAAATTTTAGTTACTATAAAAATAGAGAGCTGACTACGATGCCCATGGGTAACAGAATTCAGATATAATTCCATATATTTACAAAGGTATAAATATTGACTAATTAAAGCCATCCTTTATCAAGCACCAAGAAGGTAAACAGTAAATATCTTTGCGAAAGTTGGATATTATAAGCATGTGATGAAAAATGTTAACATGGTTAGTGTAGAGAGTTTGCAAAAAAAATAACTTGTACATTACATGTGCTGATTAATTACTTTACCTTCAGTACTTCGATGGGCATACTTGCTTTTGCTAAAAAAAACTGCCATAGTTTGGTCTGAGGTTTAAACAATGATATGAAATTTGTACTGATTTTTGTTTTTGGTTACATTTCAGAAAAAAAACTGGATAACAAGTTCATACATCATAATTAATACTGAATAAATAATTCCCTGTCTCAGAAATGTTTACATTTGTTACAATTACAATGGTTAAGATAAACCATGCTTTAGAAAAATTTAAAAAAAACAAAAACATATAAAACTTTCAATATGACGGATTAGCCCAGTTCATATTCAACATAAAGCCAATACTTATTGGTATATATGGGAAGTTTGTATCTTTATACATATACAAAAAATAATTTTGTATCACACAGACTTATTGTAAAATATCTGTGTCAAAATTTAGATTTAGTTAAAACATACACAATAATATAACTGGATGAATTCTGACGTGGTGATCAGTAAAATATAATATCTAAAACTATTATTTAACCAAAAGAAATATATCTTAACATTGTGTGAGTTTAATTACAGGTTTTGCTCAATGTAAAACAGGTATAATCAACACTAAGGTTATATAGACACTCATGAACATGGTAAACAGAAGTTGCGCATGCGCACGGAATGAGGTGAAATAAACATGCCATTTCACATGTTTCCACCAATGTTACTGTAAACCAGCGGTCCATGGATAACGAGACAGTCATCAGTTTGTGATTGTTGATAATATGATGTAACATTGGTGTTATCGCGGTTGGAGTGAAAAACGTACCTCACAAACATGGTAAGCAGAAGTTGTATGCACATGGAATGGGGTAAAATAAGCAAGCCAGTTTGTTGACATGTGATCGTCCAGCCACAATAAATATGATACCTAGCGAAGCAAAATATATTATCCATTTTCTGTCGACTACCCTTCATTTTGTGCGCAATATGATTGTGAATTCTTAAATAATGCAGACCGAAGTTACAATTATCGGTAACTGCCAGTTGTCTGTGGTCTGAGTTGGCCGTGATGAGGACCCCAGAGCAGGGGGTCGGCGTATGTATGAAACATACCATTTTGATACTGATTTTAAGGGTCCAGTTAGGGGGTCGGCTTATCTATGAGATCAGTTTATCTACGGTAATATCCCATAGAGCAAGGATAACCCAAATCGGAAGTACCATTCAGAATTATCCTTCTTTACATCATCTGGACATGTGATCCAAAGTTTTTGTATGGGCAATTGTTAGAGTACAGAGATTTAAAACACATGTCAACTGAAGTCGGGTTTGTAGTCATATTTATAAAAATATTAAGAAGCTTGTTAACTACATAAATCATCCCTGCACCCTTAGGACTCCTTCAAAATATGTTGCTATGTCTCTTGAAATAACTTCATTAGACTGATATGGTGCTTTAGTTTTTGTTACGTTAATAGCTTGAAAATGACCAGGTGAACCAGAACTATTACATCTCAAAGTATGCTACAGAGTATGAAGCAAGGAAAGCAGAGCGTGAAGACACACCAGGAGGCATGGTGTAGGAGCGAGTTAATCGGGCTTGAGGTGACGCACTTCTCGTTGCTGGAGACTCAAATGATGAACTCAAGGCTGTACTTCCTGCATAGGATGCGGTCATTCTGGTTGGTGTACCACCTTGAACATTGGAACTGGCATCATTCAAATTTGGTCCATCATCTAGCATCTCTTTCAAGTCTCTTTCAAATGTGTCTTCTTCCCCCTCCATTCCATTCGGTATTGCTTGTTGCCCTTCTCTAGCCATGGTGACTATTTACATTGCCTTGTAAAGAAAACAAATAAAGTATATACACATGAATTACAACATTGTATAATAAAGTAAATACCAGAAAAAAAAAATTAATCTGCCTGCATTACTGACAGTGTTTGATCAACAAGAAGAGTCATCAATATCCCCCTCAATGGCAAAATACTCTTCATGATTATGTCTACGAGTTATGATTATGTCAAATATTTAGGTGTGTATATAGAAAAGTGGAAGGAGAGTATTGAAAGGTTTTGAAAGTTCTGCTCCAGAAAGGAGCACTGCCACAATTTCAGGCTTAGTGAAACTTGTTGTCATGGAAACACCAAAAATATTTTATTCAGAATTCCAAAACAACCAAAAGGCACAAGTACACCACCAGATCTATCTATGTGCCAAGTTTGGTGAAGAAATATTGAACAGTTTTAGAGTTCTGCTCCGGAAAAGAGCACTACCACCAATTTCAGTCAAAGTCGAACTTGTTGCCATGGAAACGCCAAAAATATTTTATTCAGAATTCCAAAACAACCAAAAGGCACCAGTACACCACCAGATCTATCTATGTGCCAAGTTTGGTGTAGAAATAGTGAACAGTTTTAGAGTTCTGCTCCGGAAAAGAGCACTACCACCAATTTCAGTCAAAGTCGACCTTTTTGCCATGGAAACGCCAAACATATTTAATTCAGAATTCCAAAACTACCAAAAGGCACCAGTACACCACCAGATCCATATATGTGCCAAGTTTGGTGAAGAAATATTGAACGGTTTTAGAGTTCTGCTCCGGAAAAGACAAATGTGCACGGACGGACAGACAGAGTCCATTTTAATACCCCCGCAAAACGCGTTGCGGGGGATAATAAAACAATTGAATATATTAACCTAAAATATGTGGGTTCTGTTTTGTTACTAAGTTAAAATTCACCTCAACAAATTAAGATAGGCATTAATAGCCAAAGTAACATGACTGTTAGATCCAAGATTTAAATGAATATATATTAATTTTGAAGGTAACCCAAAACACTGGGCAAATTTATTCCCTCAAAACGCTGGTCAACTGAAATACGTTAACCTGAGAGGTAGTATTTTCATATGAGTTGGTGCAAGATCAGCAATGGACTCCATTTCGTTGCTATGTGGTGTTGTTGGATGGTACTGAGCAGAACTACACATGGTACATGTTGCATGGCCACATGAAAATGTAAGTGGCTTTGCTTTGAGCTGCGTTGGTACCAGTGTTTGTATATACAACGATCACAATAAACAATCGGCTATAATAAGGGTAGACGTCTGAGGAACAAGGGATGTCGTGGAAAAGTCTTCCCTCAATTAAATTAAATCATAACGTAAAGTGAAAAAGGGATCAACATGCAGATTATATACATGTTCGAGCAGCCAGTACAAATTTACCAATACAGTTTTCATGAACGAGTCACCTGACGAACAAATGAAATAGCATGCACCAGTGATCAGTCTGCTGCATCGGCGAGTTTTTCCTTCGAACACCAAAATTCTCAAACAATGTCCACTCTACAACTCAACAGGATAATGCATAGACTGCGAGAATAACATATAACCAGCAGCTGCTAAATACAAAAACTCCTCACGCTAAGCAAGTAAGAAATGAATCAGTACTATTTTCATTGTGGTCAACTCACCTGCCGAAATGTCTGTGTGTCCATCGACGTGTTGGCTAATGACGTCATCTCGCGATAAATCCCGTTATTTTGTCAGGGAAGTACATCCCATAAAACTACTATTGTTAAGCTTGGTGAATCAGATGGCGATGCTTTTACAGGGTGTTTAATTTTCAATGTACGGTCGAAGGTGATTGATCAAGAGGAAATATAGATAGTGATTGAGTTTTTAATCAAATTTGATGAAGTGATACACAAATGAAATAATAATATATATGCCGAAAAATTAAACACTGTTCGAATGACCACTTAAAATATAATTTGTCAGCGATGTGAAATTAAGACATTTCGTTTTTGACGTAGAGGGATAAGAGGTTACATATTAGCAAGTATATGATCTTATTTCATCTGATCATCTGATGCATACTTAAGAAATTATATCAATTTTAGAATGTTGTTACGAAGATAGTATTTTGTGTTTGTTGTTACTTCAGGCTCAGAACATGTGCGATTGATAATCCGAGAGAGAGGAGGGTGGCATTTTACAGATCTCGGGACTGGACATTTTTCATTTTTATCAAGAATTATTTCCTTGATACAGTGTCACAATTCAACGAAATGAATTTAGCAGACGAAGGGCAACAAAGAAATGTTAGTAGCATGGACACTATGAGGCACTTAAAACGACCTTGTATATATATATATATACCATGATAAGTTTTGCTTTGGGACAAGGGACCGTACATAATTTATGGCTAGGTTGGTGGTGGTGATGATGATGCATGTACGATGTGAATGACACCCCCAAAAAAATGTATGTTCAAAGGGAGGAACCTCCCGGCATGTCACATACAAAATCAACACCAGCCCCAACACTTCCCATGATAATTAAGCAAAAGGTTAAGTAACAAAATTGGTGACACCCCCAAGCATATGTACAAAATTGATCATAATGAATATACAGCTCATGGTTGCCAGATACATTCAGGTGACGATTCTCTGTTAGGGGTAGCCAGTTACAATAGGATCATGGCATGAGCATATTATCGCTGAAGGGGTCGTTGTCGGCACGGGTACTACAGATGTGTACCCCAGGTACGTTTCTATATACAGAAAAGTACCCTAGCCAAAATCGGAATACAGAAACGTACCCTTGGACGAATCCACTCCACAGTGTGTTGTTTTATTGATTGTAACTGTCATACGGTTGTAATTAGATGCATTGATTACGTTCTATAAGAAACGACCATACACAGTAACGAATATTTCGCGGAGCACAATAAGATTTGCAATCAGTTGGACGGGAACAACTACATACGGTTTCGGTTTTGGGTTGCGAAATATGGACTCATCGTCCGTGTAAGGTACCGGGTACGTTTCTGTATTTTGACTTTGTTTAGGGTACATTACTGTATACAGAAACGTACCTGGGGTACATATCTGTAGTACCTGTGCTGACAACGACACCTTCAGCCATATTATCGTCTTGAAAGACAAATTGTGGTCCAGCATGGCTCACAAGCATGCAATACTGGAGACAGTATGTTGTCTCAGTAGAACGGTCAAGTGGACAACATGCAGTGGGATTGCAGCAGTTCCAGTGGTCCTACCCATATAACAGACCCCCTGCTCAAATCTCTCATGTTGCATTATGTTGACAAATGACATTTATTACAATATATCTCCAGATAGTGTTAACACACATTTAGTTTCCCAAATGATGTAATACAATTTGATTCAGAAAATCAAATCATCCTTAAAAGACCCATGTGAGGGTGTCATTGTCTGCATATTTCAAGGGGAGAAAATAAATTTCGTACTAGAATCTACATGTACTTTACTAAGAAAGTGTAATCCCAAATATAACACATGTTACATTACTATGACAATCGCTTGTATAAAGAATAATAGCATTGGTAAAATTACATATATAGCCCCAGATCAAGCTCTGTTCACAGAAACAAAACTGACATTTTGATAAAGATTGTAACCATTTGATATGTCCAAATTGAACCTATGCTTTTGTTAAAGAGATTCTGTGAAATGATGTTAAATGGTTTTGTAACTAAATGAAAATACTTCTGGACACTGGATGCTGACATCGTCTCCATTGTTCACAGAAATTTGTAATTAATATGAATTCATTCATTTTGCTTTCATATCACCTCATGGCTGTTAAATATATTGTGATGAATAAGTGGGCTAAATACTTACTCAGTTTACTTACTCAATTCCCACTGTAGTCTGTGGTTTGTACTGAAATAATTATTTCTGTTAATACTGAGTATGCTGTACATACAGTGTTTAAATGCATTCTTATTTGTTTCAGTTGAAGGATTTCTTGTTGTTGTACAACAAATTAACAGAGCAGTGTTTTGAGAGATGTGTGTACAACCTGAACAATGTGGGCGTGTCCAAGGCAGAGGTGGGTGTCAGGCTATAGCCAACACTTTCCAGACCATTACCAGCTGAACTGATGCAAGGAGGTCACCAGTTTCCCTAATGATATATTTCTTCTTCTAAGTTGCATTACAACATGTAATTTAAAGCTAACCCTCTTTGACTTCAGTGTGCACAAGATGTTCACTGCCTAAGTGCCTTAGTTACCTTTACATTTTGTTGGTAGTAGGAAGGCATGTACTATTCTCGTGGTGCTTACGGATATCGGCTGAAAAAGTAACACAAACAATTCTTATCGTATGAATGCTTGATGTTTTTAAATGAAAGGCCTTCTCCTCTAACATCTGCCTCTATTAGCTGCTAGATCCATTAAGTGAATTACCACCTGTGAGCCCAATGATAAAGAATGCCATCTGCCATGGACGACATGAGCCTTCTCCCATTCTCGCGGTGGAGACATACACTACAACAGAGACTGATTGGACCTGTACCCAACAGCTGTACACCATGGATGACTTGTGTAGAGACAGACACTACAACAGAGACTGATTGGACCTGTACCCAACAGCTGTACACCATGGATGACTTGTGTAGAGACAGACACTACAACAGAGACTGATTGGACCTGTACCCAACAGCTGTACAACATGGATGACTTGTGTAGAGACAGACACTACAACAGAGACTGATTGGACCTGTACCCAACAGCTGTACAACATGGATGACTTGTGTAGAGACAGACACTACAACAGAGACTGATTGGACCTGTACCCAACAGCTGTACAACATGGATGACTTGTGTAGAGACAGACACTACAACAGAGACTGATTGGACCTGTACCCAACAGCTGTACAACATGGATGACTTGTGTAGAGACAGACACTACAACAGAGACTGATTGGACCTGTACCCAACAGCTGTACACCATGGATGACTTGTGTAGAGACAGACACTACAACAGAGACTGATTGGACCTGTACCCAACAGCTGTACACCATGGATGACTTGTGTAGAGACATACACACTACAACAGAGACTGATTGGACCTGTACCCAACAGCTGTACACCATGGATGACTTGTGTAGAGACACACACTACAACAGAGACTGATTGGACCTGTACCCAACAGCTGTACAACATGGATGACTTGTGTAGAGACAGACACTACAACAGAGACTGATTGGACCTGTACCCAACAGCTGTACACCATGGATGACTTGTGTAGAGACAGACACTACAACAGAGACTGATTGGACCTGTACCCAACAGCTGTAGAACATGGATGACTTGTGTAGAGACAGACACTACAACAGAGACTGATTGGACCTGTACCCAACAGCTGTACACCATGGATGACTTGTGTAGAGACAGACACTACAACAGAGACTGATTGGACCTGTACCCAACAGCTGTACAACATGGATGACTTGTGTAGAGACAGACACTACAACAGAGACCTATTGGACCTGTACCCAACAGCTGAACAGCAACATGGATGACTTGTGTAGAGACAGACACTACAGCAGAGACTGATTGGACCTGTACCCAACAGCTGTACAACATGGATGACTTGTGTAGAGACAGACACTACAACAGAGACTGATTGGACCTGTACCCAACAGCTGTACACCATGGATGACTTGTGTAGAGACAGACACTACAACAGAGACTGATTGGACCTGTACCCAACAGCTGTACAACATGGATGACTTGTGTAGAGACAGACACTACAACAGAGACTGATTGGACCTGTACCCAACAGCTGTACAACATGGATGACTTGTGTAGAGACAGACACTACAACAGAGACTGATTGGACCTGTACCCAACAGCTGTACACCATGGATGACTTGTGTAGAGACAGACACTACAACAGAGACTGATTGGACCTGTACCCAACAGCTGTACACCATGGATGACTTGTGTAGAGACAGACACTACAACAGAGACTGATTGGACCTGTACCCAACAGCTGTAAACAACATGGATGACTTGTGTAGAGACAGACACTACAACAGAGACTGATTGGACCTGTACCCAACAGCTGTACAACATGGATGACTTGTGTAGAGACAGACACTACAACAGAGACTGATTGGAACAGCTGTACAACATGGGATGACTTGTGTAGAGATTACAGACACTACAACAGAGATCTGATTGGACCTTGTACCCAACAGCTGTACACCATGGATGACTTGTGTAGAGACAGACACTACAACAGAGACTGATTGGACCTGTACCCAACAGCTGTACAACATGGATGACTTGTGTAGAGACAGACACTACAACAGAGACTGATTGGACCTGTACCCAACAGCTGTACACCAACATGGATGACTTGTGTAGAGACAGACACTACAACAGAGACTGATTGGACCTGTACCCAACAGCTGTACAACATGGATGACTTGTAGAGACAGACACTACAACAGAGACTGATTGGACCTGTACCCAACAGCTGTACAACATGGATGACTTGTGTAGAGACAGACACTACAACAGAGACTGATTGGACCTGTACCCAACAGCTGTACACCATGGATGACTTGTGTAGAGACAGACACTACAACAGAGATTGTGTAGAGACCAGACCACTACAACAAGAGACTGATTGGACCTGTACCCAACAGCTGTACAACATGGATGACTTGTGTAGGGACAGAAACTAGCCGAGACTGATTGGACCTGTAGACAGGCTGGTACACTATCAATAGACATACACTACAACAGACCATTGATTGACCTGCACCCAACAGCTGCACAACATGGATGACTTTGTGTAGAGACACACACAACAGATATGAGACTGATTGACATGTACCCAACAGCTGTACAAACATGGATGACTTGTGTAGAGACAGACACTACAACAGAGACTACAGATTGGACCTGTACCCAACAGCTGTACACCATGGATGACTTGTGTAGAGACAGACACTACAACAGAGACTGATTGGACCTGTACCCAACAGCTGTACAACATGGATGACTTGTGTAGAGACAGACACTACAACAGAGACTGATTGGACCTGTACCCAACAGCTGTACACCATGGATGACTTGTGTAGGGCATTTGACACTACAACAGAGACTGATTGGACCTGTACCCAACAGCTGTACAACATGGATGACTTGTGTAGAGACAGACCTACAACAACAGAGACTGATTGGACCTGTACCCAACAGCTGTACAACATGGATGACTTATGTAGAGACATACACTACAACAGAGACTGATTGGACCTGTACCCAACAGCTGTGATGAAACATGGTAGTAGAGACAGACACTACAACAGACTGATTGGACCTGTACCCAACAGCTGTACATGATTACAGAGACATACACTACAACAGAGATCAGAATTACCTAATTCATTTGTACAACAAAGCATTGACTCTGTAGAGACAGACACTACAACAGAGACCTATTGGACCTGTTCAACAGCTGTACAAAATATGGATGACTTGTGGTGAGACATTACACTACAACAGAGACTGATTGGACCTTGCACCCAACAGCTGTACAACATGGATGACTATGTGGAGAGACATACACTACAACAGAGACTGATTGGACCTGTACCCAACAGCTGTACAACATGGATGACTTGTGTAGAGACAGACACTACAACAGAGACTGATTGGACCTGTACCCAACAGCTGTACACCATGGATGACTTGTGTAGAGACAGACACTACAACAGAGACTGATTGGACCTGTACCCAACAGCTGTACAAATATGGATGACTTGTGTGAGAGACAGACACTACAAGGTACCAGTTTAGAGACCGATTGGACCTGTAACGAACAGCATGTACAACATGGATGACTGGTAGAGACAGACTACAACAGAGAGACTGATTGGATTGTACCCAACAGCTGTACAACCATGGATGACTTGACTGAGAGACATTACACTACAACAGAGACTGATGGACCCTGAAAATTCAACAGCTGTACACCATGGATGACTTGTGTAGAGACAGACACTACAACAGAGACTGATTGGACCTGTACCCAACAGCTGAACACCAACATGGATGACTTGTGTAGAGACAGACACTACAACAGAGACTGATTGGACCTGTACCCAACAGCTGTACAACATGGATGACTTGTGTAGAGACAGACACTATACCCAACATGGATGACTTGTGTAGAGACAGACACTACAACAGAGACTGATTGGACCTGTACCCAACAGATTCTATTTTTAATTCCATTATCCAGTTTAAATCCAACTTGCTGTTGTGACTCACAGCTGCTTATGTATTCAGTGTTTGTTTCAGAATGACTGTGTTGGTGTGTGTACAGACCGTTACGTCACCTACAACCAGAAGCTCATGATGAAGTTCATGGAGCACCAGAACTTGAGGCAGCAGGCAGCAGCACGGGAAGCTGAGGCAGCAGCTGCCCAGCAGGGGCGAGGTCGCTCCCAGCCCTGGGGTGACAAACACAACACCTAAACCATGATGGACTGAAAACATAACCCTGTCATCATTTGCTGGAGTTATGATAAGGTGGAGATAACAAGATATGGGACTTGTGGAGTGTAACAGGACATGGTGTCAGTGGCTGTAGACACAACCTCAAAGGTGATGTAACTGTTCAGCCCCCAGGGGATGGTAGCAAGGCAAGCAGCAGTGGCCCACTGATGATGTCATGCACAACTTATCAAGCATAAAGAATGTTCAAACTGAAAGTTGTCTGGGTTTCTTTTCCTAGGTGTGCAACTATGGACTCATGCACTGTTGGGGGCGGTGGGGTAGCCTAGTGGTTAAAGCGTTAGCTCGTCACGCCAAAGACCTGGGTTCTATTCCCCACAATGGTACGTGTGAAGCCCATTTCTGGTGTCCTCTGCTGGAATATTGCTAAAAGCGGCGTAAAACCAAACTCACTCACTCATGCACTGTCTGAATTATACTTGACACGACATGATGGGCCACAGCACACAGCACATTGTGATATCTTCAAAAAAGCCATTCGCTGTTTTGCTTTTTATTATGTTTATCATTGAGTTGTGTTGTATGTAGTGATATCTATTATCTTCCAAAGGCATTCACTGTTGGCATATTTTCAATGCATGTATATTATGTTTATTAATGAGTTCTATCAATTCAGAGGGGCAGTGGGGTAGCCTAGTGGTTAAAGCCCTCACTCACCATGCAGAAGACCTGGGTTCGATTCCCCACATGGGTACAATGTGTGAAGCCCATTTCTGGTGTTCCCTGCTGTGATATTGCTGGAATATTGCAGCATAAAACCACCTAGTTTTAAGTGATTTGGGCTGGTATCCTCTATTCTGTAATACTGCTAATGCATCATTTGCTTAGTTAATTGTTCTACACATGCCAGACTCCACATCAAACCTATGATATACTATATAAGCTACCCATGAAGAATTGGGTTAGAACTGGCCTTCAGCAACCCATGCCTTTCAACTAGTAGGATTGGGTGGTCAGGCAGCTGACTTTGTTGATCCATGTCATGGCTTAGATCACAGTCAGGCATATTTGCAGCAAACAAGCTTTGGTGACATTATAACACCTTTGCAGCAAGTGAGAATAATACCACCACTTCCCCAGCTTTGGGTACTGGGTGACGTGTTCACTTGTCTCCAGTACTATAGCACTGACTGTCTCTACATGCCTGAAGTTGACAGGAGGAAGGTAGAACCATGAACAGTTGTCTCCAGTACTATAGCACTGACTGTCTCTACATGCCTGAAGTTGACAGGAGGAAGGTAGAACCATGAACAGTTGTCTCCAGTACTATAGCACTGACTGTCTCTACATGCCTGAAGTTGACAGGAGGAAGGTAGAACCATGAACAGTTGTCTCCAGTACTATAGCACTGACTGTCTCTACATGCCTCAAGTTGACAGGAGGAAGGTAGAACCATGAACAGTTGTCTCCAGTACTATAGCACTGACTGTCTCTACATGCCTCAAGTTGACCATGAACAGTTGTCTCCAGTACTATAGCACTGTCCATGAACAGTTGTCTCCATTACTATAGCACTGACTGTCTCTACATGCCTCAAGTTGACAGGAGGAAGGTAGAACCATGAACAGTTGCTGGAGTAGTTGAATGGAGGGCTGCCGTTGTCTTCCACTCAGGGTACTTTTGACAGTGGATTGTCTTTATGCTCCCAAGCTGTGAGTTGGGCATGCTACAGCTATGTTCATTCACTTCTGTATCTTTGTAACGAGTTAGGTAGGATCACACACTCCAGCGTCAAGTGGGTGACCCCAGTTGGACCTGAGTAGGATTTGTGTGACTTTCTCTGAGGGATACTGTAGTTACCACTTGATTCAAATATTATGCACAGCATATGCTTGTCTTATGTCCCCATTTATACAAATGGGGTCACAGTTGTTAGTGCCAAAACTTTGGTAGAATTAAAGGAAATGTCTGTTTTATGCCAATAACGAAATAACAACAATTGATAACATGTTTATAAACTTTAATAACAATTGTAAATGGATGGATTATCAACACAGTAAAAAAATATTTTTGATCATTATATGCATATAAAACAGAGTATTAAACATTGACTGGAAGCTCTGTTTTCCTCAAACCAACTACATGTATGTTTCACTGTTTCAATGTCAAAAATATATACTCATGTGAACAATGCACAAAATATAAAATAATGCATTCATGAGTACTTAACACTGATTATGAGATGTTGATATTCAGTATTGCACAAAGAACACAGTTGGTAGGAACAAAAGTTTGTAAATGTTTCTATGTATGTGCACATCTGTTATCACCAAGCTTTCGAAGTATCAGCAGATTGAGAATTAAGTGCCTATTGGGGAGATCAGCTAATCTGGAGCCGGAATTGGACATGAGGTCAGGTACCATTATAATGACAGCAGGAATAATTCTTAGGAATCCTCTACCTCTTTACATCATTGACATAATTCCTGTATATGGCTGCCATCACACAAAGCTAATCTTCAAAAATTACAGCTGAAGTCCTCTTTCACTGTCAGCTACACACAACTAGTTGTCAAGATAATATTACCACCAATGAGCACCCTGCTCATCTGCTTGCAAAGATGGGAAAATCCTCAATTCTTTCCAAACTCCATGATCCAGAAACAGAAGACTGGTGGGAGTATTTCCAATGTGACAGAGGTAGTACTATCTGTTTTTTTAACAGGGAGCTATTGTTTGATAATTCTTATGAATCCTCTACCTCTATTACATCACTGCCAGAATACACCAGAGGGAAACAGGTGGGTTCTGGTTCTGCCATATTCTCGGTGTAGTTGACAGTTTTTCAGTAATATCCTCTTGTGGAGTCGTCCATTGAATCCTTTTGAGCAAAAACACATATATGTAGTCTCTGTCTTACAAGAACTCACCCTCTGTATCTCCGGGGCTTCTAGTTCAGTAAACCTACACTACCCCTGGATCCATTCTAGTCGGTCATGCAAACACAAATTACCTGCCCTTGATTTCCAGACCAGTGGCAATCTCCAGCTAGCTACCAAATAAAGGAGATAGGTCTACCATAGGTATAACATGATGTATTGGTTATCATTGGAAAGTTTGGAATCTTCAGTTTTCTAAAACCAATGTTGTCAGAATTGAAAGTGTAAGGCATTTCCATTGTAACCATAGTATCTTTGAAAGAGCACTACAGCTACATTTAAACAGATAGATATCATACCATTTTTTAGAATATTTGTATAGCTCAAAAGCTATGTAAAACAACACAGACAAGGTTAAAGGTCAAGATCACAGATATGGGTTTTGTTCCTATCCTTCATGAACTATTTTGTGAAGCCCATTTCTGGTGTCCCCCCGCCATGATATTGCTGGAATATTGCTAAAAGCGTGTAAAACCAAACTCAGTCAGTCATGAACTATTTCAAAATGTGTACTTTCAAAGATCAGTAACTAATCTAGCTGCTTCCAGTTCAATCTTTTAAGTTCATCAGAGTTGGCATAGGTACAGACATCCCAGACTTCAGAGAATGTGGTGTGAAAATAATGTTTATATATCAAGCACATATTTAAGTTTTCAAAAAATATATGTCATTTTAGATGCAGAGTAGCTTGTAAAGTCAATGTGGGCAAAAGTGCCTGTCAAATGAAGCGCTTCAGAATTATTATCAGTCCTTCCTGGAATCTGCGGTTGCAGAATAAACCGCGGAAATTACCTTTTGATGCAGAAAAATGACTGGTCTGTGGAAAATGCATTTTCATGCAGAATACCTGCAGTATTTGCCTTTTCACTGCCACGGAATTTACTTATTTTGAAAGTTAAATCAAGATTGACATCAACCGAAACGAAAAGTAGGGGTACATGTAAAAGTATGATTGGTTACACAAATACGAACTGAGACATTAGTTATAACGATACTTTCAAAATAAAGATGATTTTTTTACAAAGTAATATTTTCTTCAGCATCTTACAATGATATTTGAATTTGACACTGTAATTATTTTCACAAAATCAATCTTTTTGAAGATTGAAATTGCATTATTTTGTGTTTTTCAAGTTTTTAACTGCAGAATTGTTTGCAGAATTTTGAAAAATGGGATGCAGAATTTACTTTAAATTCGTCGCAGAATCCAGGAGGGACTGTATTATATAACGATTTAACACAGTTGTCCTAGTTTCAATGCTGAAGGTTTAAAATTAGAATTTCTCTTCTTTCAATGTTCAGTTTGAAATCATTTTGAATTACCAACAAAAACAATTGACATAAGAAATTATCATGCATTTTCATGCGAACCTCACCTTGATTTATAAACACTGTTTGTAAACAGTTGAGTTGCATATTATACAAGCAACCTTTTAAACATATACATAAAGCAATACTTTAACATTATCTTTGATTTGTTAACATTTTGGAATGTCAGTAGAAGTACTTTTTTTTCCTCCATAGAAATGCACCCAAAATTCTTTCAAGTCTGGCCACATTGGTTGTCGGAGATTCCAAGTTTTCTAACAATACCAAATACACCATGCTGTACCTTTGGCAGTTGTGTTTCCAACACCAGAAACCTCTGACAATTGCGTGAACATTTTACCAACCAATCAAGTGTCACCATAAGGGAAGGGTATGGGAGGTAACTTCTATTGAGGGACCGTTCATAACTTATGTGTGAGTGAGTGAGTGTGTGTGTGTGTCTGTGTGTGTCTGTGATGATGATTTTTATGGAGAAGCATGTACAATGTGAATGACACACACACACATTTATGTACAAAGTAAGTGACCCCCCCCTGCATGTCATGTACAAAATCAATGCCATCCCCCTAGTACATGTGTACAATATTGATGACCCAATCCCCCCACCTCCCCAGAACAAAATGGGTGACCCCCCTTAAAATCATCATCACCCCATCGAGCCATAACTTATGAAGGGTCCCTAACAAGAAATCAAGTCACCGCCTGCTTTAATGGACATGAAGTTTGGAAGTGTGTTAGTGCAACAGTCTCAAAACCTTTCGTCATCTATGTAAATAATACTTACATCTGTGTGGAAGATAATTTCTAATGCACAGAGGACACTTTCCATCTATGTTGATGATACTTTTATCTCCAAATGATGCATGTTGCTACTGAAACCATGATATTGAGTTGTGAAGCCCCTAGCTGGATATAGTTAATATAAACGTTGGATATATTGTTTACAAACATATCTATGATTTATTTGAATGTTTAGCAGCATGTTGGTTGTCTATATTCATTTGGCTTTTTCTGTATTTTCACAACTAAAATCATCTCTAAGTATGATCATTAAAATGAAAAAACAACTCCATCAATTTGTGTATATTCATTCAACAAAACCTCGGCATATTTATATGAAGAGTTACTTCATTAAAAGTTCTGACAGTTCCTTAGAGGTTACATAAAACAGACCCAGAACTATTGTCAGTTATTTGAACAAAAATTGGTTACTAAGACAATACTTCAATACTAGATGATGCCTCCTCTTGGGTAGATTGTGACATCATATTTGTTAATTTAAGTATCATCTGTGTAGATGTAAGTATTTGTACATAGATGGAAGTGACATGCTCCATAATGAAGGCATCCGTTCCATCAAAAAGAATTTTCAGGGTCAAGGGTATATAGTTATACAAAGGAATTCCATCCGTCCGTCCATCTATCTGAAGACATTTTTGTTCAACTGATAATGGTTGAATTGTTTTCAAATTTGGGGACTATCTTCTTTGCCTTATAAGTTAAGCAGTGGGGAAGTGCGAATATGTATTATGATAATAGTTTTTCCAAGAATTGCAGCAATTTACAAATCCAAACAAGGAAAGTTTAAATTTTGTAAAACAGCTTCTTTATCTAAAGGAGAGTTGCAGTGCAATGTTTAATTTCACAAGAGTTACCAGGTATGTCAGTGTACATATTTGATATTTTGTTCAACCAATAACTTGAACATGTTTTAATGGTTTGATTTCACAAGAGTTACCGAGTACGTCAGTGTACATATTTGATATTTTGTTCAACCAATAACTTGAACATGATTTAATGGTTTGATTTCAGATTTGGGGATTACCATATCTTTTGGAGAAGCACAGTGCATTTATGATATGTTTAATTTATCAAGAATTATCGAAAATTTTGTCTCTTAAACTCGGGAAAACTTCAAACGGAAAATTTGTTTGACTAACATAAATTTATGTTGCCATTTAATGGATTGATTTCAGATTCTGGCAATGGCTTCTTTGTTTACAAAAAAAGGTGCAATGCAAACTTTGATACAGATATAGAAATTGTCAAAAAATAATACAAAATAATTAATTAATTTTGAACTCACTTTGAAATTCCCAAGGAAAATTTGTTCATCAAACAACATGAAAACTATTTGATGGATTGTTTTCAAATTTTGGGAACTTCTAAGTTTATGCGACAGGTGCCCCTAATGAACATCTTGTTTAACTTTGCAAAGAGCCAAATCATCACAATTTAGTCAAAATGTTCCCTCGGTTGTTTTGGATAGGAACAACTCTTAGATGTTTTCGTAATATGTCCATAAAGTGGTCTCAAAATGTGTCTAGTATTGTTTAACATTGTTCAGAAGTGATTGACACACAAGAGAAAGGATGTAGGAAAGGATGTCTTCATGTCTGGCTGTGTTTTGATTTCTTGGTATAAATGAGTTACCTCCCATACCCTTTCACTTACGTCAGCACTTGACTGGTCGGTAGAATGTTAATGAAACACAAGGGGGATGGAATGTATGATCACAAAAACCATGGGAATGGATCCAGGTGTTAGTGTAGGTCAACTGAAATACAAGCCCTGTAGTTGTAGAGAATGAGTTCCTATATTGAAGAGACAACATATTTGTGTTTTGTTCTCAAATTTTCAAGGATTCTTAGGATGAATCCACAAGAGGATATTACTGCTGTCAACTACACCGAGAGTATGACAGCCAGAACCTACCTGTTTCCCTCTGGTGTATTCTGGCAGTGATGTAATAGAGGTAGAGGATTCATAAGAATTATCAAACAATAGTTTTAATATTGCTAAGAGTACTACCTCCATCACATCAGAATTACTTCCACCATCTTCTGGATCGTGGAGTTTGGAAGTTCTGAAGTGAGGATTTTCCCACCTCCAAGCTCAAGAGCTGGGTACCGTTGTACAAAACAACCTTAGCGCTAAGAGTATGACTATAAGTCTATGTTGAGGTCACTTATGATCACCTTAGCACTAAGGTTGTTTTGTACAACGGTACCCTGGATGTTTATTGGCAGAAATATTATCAAGGGACACCAGACATGGGCATGTACCCATGTTGGGATTTGAACCCGGGTCATCTGCGAACGCTTTAATCACTGGGCCAGCCCACCGCCCCATCTGGACAACTAGCTGTGTGTAGTGGATAGTGAGGAGGACCTCAGTTGAACATTCTCATGATCAGCTTTGTGTGACTGCAGCCAGATACAGGAGTTATGGCAATGATGTAATCTCCCATGTACAAGACTGTTCATGCTGATCTCTGGTAACATGCATCCCCATGGGGGAAGATTGTTGGTAGTTGCTTCACATCACTGTGGCTGCTTGTCCTTGATTCAAGTGGAAGATACACGAAGCCAGTGTATCCATCAGATATGTGAGAAAAGGGACATGTACTGTTTCCAAAATAACACTGTATGTTCATGATGTGTTGTAACAACATGGTGCTCAGTGGCATGTCACCTCACATCTTAGTACACTGTAAAGAAACCTGCACAAGGACTTGATTCAACTGGTAATCACTACTGCAAAGACTTCCTTGAAGGGAACTGCCATGAAATGTTAGTTGGTCAGAGAATTGAGTTGTATCAGAAATACATAAAGCTGGTACATGTGTCCTGGAACCCTGTTGTCAATGTTTCCACTTCAGGGAATATACAAAGTCAGATTGGCATAATGATAACTATCATGCAAGAGACACATAAATAAATAGGATAAAACCCCTGACTCTTAAAATGTATCAAAATGACCACCAGATTCAACTGAAAACCATTACATCTAGTCACACAAGAAGCATCAATATTGTTAAATATCTCCTCATACTGCATATAATATGCATGTCAATAATTGCACTTTACCCACAGTTACATAACACATATCACAAAACATTATAAAAATATCTTTCCTAACATAATATCACAGCCTGGTTAATAATGATCATTATCAAGTTAGGAATCGTAGATGTTATTCTTCCTTACTGTTCCCCGTCTCTTCAGGAGCTTCTCAAGTGGAGGCAGACGGGAGTTGCTTGTCTTGGCTGCTGCTCCTTCGCCAGTATGTGGGAGGTCGTAAGTATTTCCTCCCTGTGGAGACTTTACATGGCACTTCTGGCCAATGTGTGCCATCGATTCCCGTGGCAGTCTTGCAGGGGTATTGGCAATCTCATCTGTAAACAAAAGCACATACAGAGATTCCTGCAACATCATGACTGGAAATGTGATGTGAATTGTAACAATGTCCCAAAGACAAAGTGATGGCAGCACTTATTATGGCAAAAGAAGGAAAATATGTTTTGCTTACAACTGGAAATTCTAAATTTCTTTTTTTTTTAAGTTTGGCAAAAGTGATCTTGTAAACAGTACGGAATAAGTACATGAAAGGAGAATTTTGTGATATTTACAGTAACATGTAAGATGTTAACATTAAGTCTGAGATAAGTAAACTTTCTTTTGGTCTGGTAAGTTTAACAAATAATTGCCTCTATGTTAAAACCAAATTCAATAAAAAATTATGACAGGTCTTGGCTTGTAGAATTGAAACTTGCTAACACAGACTGAAGTATTCTTATTGCTCTGACAGTATACTCTTAAAAAAGTATACTCTTAAAAACAACCTGTTGGTCACTGTTTTCTGAAAACCTGGTGTCATCACTATAATACAGAAATTCATTAACACCTACTGATGGTATGTAAGGAGTAAAACATTCGACTCCTGATTTCAGCTGAGGTTACTTATGATAGTAAAAGGGTTTTATGCTCTTATTTATAGGCCCAGGAGTTACGAGTATGAGTGAAGGTTCTGAGATCTGTAACACAGATTTCCAGCTCCATTTGTGTAAAATGGGCTACCATAGCATGAAACAGTGCGATGAAGAGTTCAATAAGGAGTTCTCAGCTATCTCTGTATGGTCGTTTACGATCACGGCATCAGGAGATAATGTTACATGTCACCGCCATCAGATGGGCATAATGAATCCCTCTTTCAATCAGGCAAACGCAAGTGTGTTCTAGCAGCTAGGGACCTCACTACTAGGGGCAGGACTGAAGGTTGTGAAATGTCTGTGGTTATCACTAGGACATGAACAGTGTGGTTTACTTCAAAGCTCTATGGCCAAAGTTGTATTGTTATGATGACACCAGTTAATGATACAAGTGATTCCATCAACCCTTCAATCAGTAACCAGAAGACTAGATACAAGATTCTCTGACAATATGCATGGTGCTTCCATGAACAACCTCAAAGCACAGATACAAAATTTTCTGACAATATGCATGGGCAACCTTACAGCACAGATACAAGGGTTTCGGACACTATACATGGTCACTCCATGGGCAACCTTACAGCACAGATACAAGGGTTTCTGACGCTATGCATGGTCACTCCATGGGCAACTTTACAGCACAGATACAAGGGTTTCGGACACTATGCATGGTCCCACCATGGGCAACCTTACAGCACAGATACAAGGGTTTCTGACGCTATGCATGGTCACTCCATGGGCAACCTTACAGCACAGATACAAGGATTTCAGACACTGTTCATGGTCCCTCCATGGGAAACTTTACACACAGATTTTCTGACAGCACAGATACAAGGGTTTCTGACGACACTATGGGCATGGTCCCTCCATGGGCAACCTTATGGGCAACCTTACAGCACAGATACAAGGGTTTCCCTCCATGACACTGATAATGCAGGGTTTCATGTTCATGTCCCTCCATGGGCAACCTTGTAGTACAGATACAAAGGCTTTTGACACTGTTCATGGCCCTTACATGAGAAACCTTACAGCACAGATACGAGGGTTTCTGACACTGTTCATGGTCCTTACATGAGAAACCTTCAGCACAGATACAAGGGTTTCTGACACTGTTCATGGTCCCTCCATGGGCAACCTTACAGCACAGATACAAGGGTTTCTGACACTGTTCATGGTCCCTCCATGGGCAACCTTGTAGTACAGATACAAAGGCTTTTGACACTGTTCATGGTCCTTACATGAGAAACCTTGCAGCACAGATACAAGGGTTTCTGACACTGTTCATGGTCCCTCCATGGGCAATCTTGCAGCACAGATACAAGGGTTTCTGACACTGTTCATGGTTCGTCCATGGGAAACCTTGCAGCACAAATACAAGGGTTTCTGACACTGTTCATGGTCCTTCCATAGGAAACCTTGCAGCACAGATACAAGGGTTTCTGACACTGTTCATGGTCCTTCCATGGGAAACCTTGCAGCACAAATACAAGGGTTTCTGACACTGTTCATGGTCCTTACATGAGAAACCTTGCAGCACAGATACAAGGGTTTCTGAAAATATGCATGGTCTCTCCATGGGCAACCTTACAGCACAGATACAAGGGTTTCTGACACTGTTCATGGTCCTTACATGAGAAACCTTCAGCACAGATACAAGGGTTTCTGACACTGTTCATGGCCCCTCCATGGGCAACCTTGCAGTACAGATACAAAGGCTTTTGACACTGTTCATGGTCCTTACATGAGAAACCTTACAGCACAGATACAAGGGTTTCGGACACTGTTCATGGTCCTTACATGAGAAACCTTCAGCACAGATACAAGGGATGCTGACACTGTTCATGGTCCCTCCATGGGCAACCTTACAGCACAGATACAAGGGTTTCTGACACTGTTCATGGTCCCTCCATGGGCAACCTTGTAGTACAGATACAAAGGCTTTTGACACTGTTCATGGTCCTTACATGAGAAACCTTCAGCACAGATACAAGGGTTTCTGACACTGTTCATGGTCCCTCCATGGGCAATCTTGCAGCACAGATACAAGGGTTTCTGACACTGTTCATGGTCCTTCCATGGGAAACCTTGCAGCACAAATACAAGGGTTTCTGACACTGTTCATGGTCCTTCCATAGGAAACCTTGCAGCACAGATACAAGGGTTTCTGAAAATATGCATGGTCTCTCCATGGGCAACCTTACAGCACAGATACAAGGGTTTCTGACACTGTTCATGGTCCTTACATGAGAAACTTTCAGCACAGATACAAGGGTTTCTGAAAATATGCATGGTCTCTCCATTGGCAACCTTACAGCACAGATACAAGGGTTTGTGACACTGTTCATGGTCCTCCATGGGCAACCTTGCAGCACAAATACAAGGGTTTCTGACACTGTTCATGGTCCCTCCATGGGAAACCTTCCAGCACAGATACAAGGGTTTCTGAAAATATGCATGGTCACTCCAGGGCAACCTTCTGATACAAGGGTTTCTGACACTGTTCATGGTCCCTCCATGGGAAACCTTACAGCACAGATACAAGGGTTTCTGAAAATATGCATGGTCCCTCCATGGGCAACCTTACAGCACAGATACAAGGGTTTCTGACACTGTTCATGGTCCCTCCATGGGATTGCAGCACAGATACAAGGCTTTCTGAAAATGTGCATGGTCTCTCCATGGGCAACCTTACAGCACAGATACAAGGGTTTCTGACACTGTTCATGGTCCCTCCATGGGAAACCTTACAGCACAGATACAAGGGTTTCTGACACTGTTCATGGTCCCTCCATGGGAAACCTTACAGCACAGATACAAGGGTTTCTGACACTGTTCATGGTCCCTCCATGGGAAACCTTGCAGCACAGATACAAGGGTTTCTGGCGTATGCATGGTCCCTCCATGGGCAACCTTACAGCACAGATACAAGGGTTTCTGGCGTTTGCATGGTCCCTCCATGGGAAACCTTACAGCACAGATACAAGGGTTTCTGGACACTGTTCATGGTCCTTACATGAAAAACCTTCAGCACAGATACAAGGGTTTCTGAAAATATGCATGGTCTCTCCATGGGCAACCTTACAGCACAGATACAAGGGTTTCTGAAAATATGCATGGTCTCTCCATGGGCAACCTTACAGCACAGATACAAGGGTTTCTGAAAATATGCATGGTCCCTCCATGGGCAACCTTACAGCACAGATACAAGGGTTTCTGACACTGTTCATGGTCCTTACATGAGAAACCTTCAGCACAGATACAAGGGTTTCTGACACTGTTCATGGTCTCTCCATGGGCAATCTTGCAGCACAGATACGAGGGTTTCTGACACTGTTCATCGTCCTTCCATGGGAAACCTTGCAGCACAAATACAAGGGTTTCTGACACTGTTCATGGTCCTTACATGAGAAACCTTGCAGCACCAATACAAGGGTTTCTGACACTGTTCATGGTCCCTCCATGGGAAACCTTCCAGCACAGATACAAGGGTTTCTGAAAATATGCATGGTCACTCCATGGGCAACCTTACAGCACAGATACAAGGGTTTCTGACACTGTTCATGGTCCCTCCATGGGAAACCTTGCAGCACAGATACAAGGGTTTTTGAAAATATCCATGGTCTCTCCATGGGCAACCTTACAGCACAGATACAAGGGTTTCTGACACTGTTCATGGTCCCTCCATGGGAAACCTTGCAGCACAGATACAAGGCTTTCTGAAAATGTGCATGGTCTCTCTATGGGCAACCTTGCAGCACAGATACAAGGGTTTCTGACACTGTTCATGGTCCCTCCATGGGAAACCTTACAGCACAGATACAAGGGTTTCTGATGCTATGCATGGTCCCTCCATGGGCAACCTTACAGCACAGATACAAGGGTTTCTGACACTGTTCATGGTCCCTCCATGGGAAACCTTGCAGCACAGATACAAGGGTTTCTGACGCTATGCATGGTCCCTCCATTGGCAACCTTACAGCACAGATACAAGGGTTTCTGACGCTATGCATGGTCCCTCCATGGGAAACCTTACAGCACAGATACAAGGGTTTCTGACACTGTTCATGGTCCTTACATGAGAAACCTTCAGCACAGATACAAGGGTTTCTGAAAATATGCATGGTCTCTCCATGGGCAACCTTACAGCACAGATACAAGGGTTTCTGAAAATATGCATGGTCTCTCCGTGGGCAACCTTACAGCACAGATACAAGGGTTTCTGAAAATATGCATGGTCCCTCCATGGGCAACCTTACAGCACAGATACAAGGGTTTCTGACACTGTTCATGGTCCTTACATGAGAAACCTTGCAGCACAAATACAAGGGTTTCTGACACTGTTCATGGTCCCTCCATGGGAAACTTTACAGCACAGATACAAGGGTTTCTGAAAATATGAATGGTCT